CGGTCCTTTCTCTAGATGTCCACGTCATTCAGCCCAGATGTCACCTCAGAGACCTGGCTTTACCTCCCTATCCAATGTTTTTCTTCCATTAGTTTCTATCCAATTATCCTGCTTTATTCTCTTCTGATCACTTATTACTGTCCGATATTGCACATATCAGTAGCTGATATTAGCTTATTTGTTTATTGGAAGCTCCATGAGAGCAGGCATCTTGTCTATCTGGTATTCCTAACACTGGGGACAGAACCTGGTACATTTCATGCGTGAGTATACATTTTTCAAATTGATGAGTGAACTTTACAAAGAGATTAAAGAACATCTGTAGAGTCCAGTAGATTTCAGCTTTTTTAAAGCAGAGGACCCTTTTTATCAAACATAATATTTAGTTTTAAATTATTAATATGTGTGTTTGTTTAGTTCTTTTTACTTATTTCTTGACAATCAATAGGATTCTATACATATAAAAACCTCTTAGCAAGTACTTAGCAGTTTAATGTGTCCTTGCTCAACGAGAGCTACCACCAGGGGGAAATCAATCCTCTGATTGGCATGGGGTGGACAGTGAGCTGTGGACAGTGAGAAAATCTGGCTGGAGGAGAAGCAGACCCAAGCTCAGGGGACAAGAGTAGGCAAGAGGTGCTGAGTGTTCTGGCAGCATGGCTCCTCTAGGGCTTCCCAGCACCTCTGCAGACAGAGGCAGGAAGATGCAGGACAGGCAGAGCCATCATTTGGAGTACTCAGAGGAGGAGCAGCAAGAGAGGGCCCTGCCAGCCCAGGCAGTGGTGAGAAGCTGCCCGACTTGGAGCAGCCCTGGGCCAGTGGCTGCAGCACTGCAGGAAGGATGGCGGTGGTGGTGGTGGTAGCAATGGTGGTGCCACAAGAACAACATCTCAGGGAGGTACTGACATGGGAAGCAGCTTCCCATCGGGCTCAAGCCATAAGGGAGTTGGGAAGGAGGCAACGATTGCAGTGACAGACAAGTGGCAGCGAGGAGGCCATTTGACCCCTCACACTCTCCAGTGACAGGAAAGGATTTAGGGACCTGGAATTCCAGCAGATGAGCATGTGTGATCTCAGCCAGACCTATTGGGTTTGTTGTCTTTTGGGTTATATTTATCTTTCAGTATCACTTTCAAGGATTAAACATATCCAGAAATGACAGAGATGTTGGTATTAGCAAGCAAGGATTTTGAAACAGCTCTTATAAACATGTTTAAGGATTTAAAAGAAAATACGGACTCAAGTGAATAGAGAGAGAGTCTCATGAGAGAAATGGAAACTATAAAAAAACCCTAGAAATTCTAGAACTGAAAAATAAAATATCTGAAATGAAAAAAACATCACTAGATGGGCTTAACAGCAAACTGGATTTTACAGAAGATTAAAATTAATGAATTTGAAGACAGGGCAATATAAATTATCTGAACTGAAGTACATAAAGAAAAAAGGCTGAAAAAAATGAACAGAGCCTCATTGACTTGTGGGATAGTATGAACTGGCTTAACATCTGTGAAACTGGAGTCCCAGGAGGAGAGGAGAGAATGACTGAGGCAGAAAAAATATTTGAAGAAAAATGGCTGAGAAAGAATCCAAATTTGATGAAAAATATTAACCCATGAATCTAAGAAGCTCAATGAACCCCAAGCAGGATAAAAATTTTTTAAAACCACCTCTAGGCACATCATACTCAAATTCTGAAAACCAAGGATCAAAGGGAAAAGTCTTAATAGCAGACAGAGAAAAAAGACTCATTCTGCACATGGCCTAGGGGAATAATAAATCTGACTTCTCAACAAGCCAGAAGACAATGGAATAACATCTTTAAAGTGCTGAAAGAAATAACACCCATTAACTTGGAATTAGAAACCTAGTGAAAAGAGCCTTCAAAAATGAAGGCAAAAGAGAGAGAGAGAGAAACATTCCCAAATAAGCAAAAGCCGAGAGAATTTGTCAACAACAGACATGTACTATAAGACATGTTGAAGGAATTTCTTCAGGCTGAAGGAAGTGATACTAGATGCAAACTCAGATCAACATGAAAAATGAAGAGTGTTGAAAATGGTAAATATGTGAGTAAATAGAAATTACTTTTTTCCTTCTTATTATTGAATGAGTAAGACTCTTAATTATAGAGCTGAGTTCTTAGTGGACATTGCAGTTGTCTGGGTGTCAGGAAATCTGGGGTCCTGTCTACTTCTGTGACCTTAGATAAGTGGCCTAATATCTTATCTTGGTTTGATCATGGGCCAAGTAGGATTCTAATACTTGATATTCTTCTTTCATTGGCAAATATTCAATAAATGTGTCCTTTTATCACTGCCAAACACTTCAAAAGAGCTATCTACCCATTGCTTCTCAAATTTAATGTGCATATGAATCACCTGGGGATCTTGTTAAATTCAACTACAGTAACGAAATCATTGTGGTATTGGTAAAAGGATAGACAAATAGATCAAGGGAATAGAATAGAAATGTATTCTTTTTTTCCCTTTTACTTCTAACCTATTATGTCTTTATACTCATACTTTATATTTAAAGCATCTCTCTTACAAACTATATAGAGTTGGTTCTTGTGTTTTTTATTCAGATTTATAATCTCTGCCTTTTAATTGGAGTGTTTAGTCCAATTACATTTAACATAATTATTAATGTTGAGTTTACATCTACCATCTTGCTATTTTTTCCCAACTATTTTTTTGTCCCATCTGTTTTTTATTCCTTTGCTTCTCCTTTTCTTCCTTCTTTTGGATTTATTGAGGATTTTTAAGTATTCCATTTTATTTCCTCTATTGGCTTAAAAGTTATACCCCTTTGTTTTATTTTTTAGTGGCTGATCTAGGGATTGCAACCTATATCATTTGCTTAGCAGAGTCTACTATGATTTCATATTATAACACTATATGTATAGTATAAAAAACTTACAAAAGCATACTTCTGGTTCCCCAGTTTGTTCTTTGCATTGTTGTCATATGTCATACTTCTACATACGTTAAAAGCCCTACAATAAGTTGTTACTATTTTTCCTTTAAATAATCAATTATTTTTTAAAGAAATTAAGTGAAGTTGATATTAGAGCAATTCTAGAAAACTTTTCTCTGCTTGCTGCATTTTCCACATGTAGTATGTGAATCCTTTACAGTCCCTACCTGCTGAGCTGGGTGAAGCAATCTGTCAGTGAAGTTACCACTGCTGTGCCAGTGGCTCTCCTCAGAATCTCTTTGAACTTCACACTAGAAAAAGAGGAGAGCAGGATGCTTAGAGAGGGAGGCAAATACTGGTAAGATGATGGGGAGAATGAAACCCCTTTAAGTCTATATTTTAAAATCTCATTAAGCTTCACATCTTATGAAGTATAATTTGAAGAGATATATTTCTTTTTAGAAAACAAATTGTAAGGCACTTGGGTGTTAGTTGATCTAGGGAGATGCTGATAATTATATTCGAATTGTCAGTAATTCTAGTTCCGGCTCCAGAAAGCAAAATACAAGTACTAAAGAACGAGTCTACTTGAAATCTCTGGGCAAAGAAAGTCCTTTGCTTCCTCTCAAGGCCATCTGGTATGGGAATAAGGGGGTTTGAAGAAAATGTGTCATTGATGACTTTTTAAAATAATATTTGACATAAGAGGTTACATTTTTATAATCTTATTTTTTTTACATAGAAAATGCAGATTGCCTTAAATTGCCTTGTTAACATCTGAATCATGCTCATGTAAAAAAGAAGATTGGGGCCATCTCAACACTCAAGTACCCTTTTTTGGTATAGAATGGTAGAGTATTGGTGTAAAAAGGACTGCTTTTTTTTTTTAAATATTCAAAGTGTTACTAAGTACCATAGTCATTCATCTTTGGAAATACTGTGGCTTTCGGGGTCACTGACTGTGTGTCCTATACCAGTAGAGAGCACGATTCATCAGCTGTGGACATTCTTTGCATTCTTAGTATTGTTCATGGCTGTATCTTTACCTCTTGGGCTGTATGACACCTTTCATTAAAATAAGCCTTCATGTTTGTGATTTCTGTGCATCAGGTTATTGGGTCTGTGGTTGGCCTTCCAGCTGTCCACCTGCCTAAGCTCACGGGAAAGAGGGCATGGTTGTCAGTGTCATGGTGCTGTTCTGCTTGATTAAATCCAAAAAACTGGTTATATCCAAAAAACTTCTGGTATAAGAATTTTTTTTTTCTGTTTTGATTTAATTAAGGAGAAACACAAGCTATGAGCAATGTCTATAAATAGCCTTGGTTCTTTTATGAGGAATGTCCTCCATGTTAGCACCTGCAAGAAGATAGCATGTGTCATATTAGTTTTATAATATCAGTGTTTGTACAGAATGATGGCAGGAAGACAAACTGGGTTTTATTCCTTATTGGTTATTATAGGTTGAAAATACTCCTGTGCGGGCTTACGGTATTAGGTTAAACCATGTGAAATTGCTATTTGAGTAGGCAATTTTATATGGCTCTAGGAGACAAGGTATATTTTAATTAGTTCTCTCTACATCATTGTGAGTCTGCCACAAATATTTCAAATTAATACATATAATTTAAGAATTGGAACCTGAAAGACAAGGTTTGTTTGTTCTCATTCTTGCTATGTTTTTACTCTTTGTCATTGTTTCCTTGCTTTCAAGGACATGGAGACTCTATATACAGAACCTCTCCTGACATTTGCCATTCTGTAGCCCCTTGAGAGGTAAACAAATAAAAACACAAATATTACTTACTCAGTTGTGGGTTAAAGTCATCTTTAGATCCTTCTAACAATAATTTAAATTTGCAGCTGTTCGTTTATGATTTTTTATGAATTCTATTCTATAGAGACGACAATTCCATCACAGGAATATGTTAGAAGTATTGAAATGCCTTTCCCCTCTCACTTCTTCCTTATTTCTCCATTTCCAGTTTCATCTGTACAGAAAGGGAGCTCTGGTAGCTTCCGCTGAGACTTTTAGTAGGAAATGCTTCAAAAAAAAAAAAAAAGGAAAAGAAAAAGAAAAAACAACAGCTATTTTGAAGACCTACTTTCTAAAATTATATTCAGGTAAGGTAAATTTTAGATGCCATCCCTTATAGCTAAAAGTAAACACATTTGATTTAATCATGTTAATCAAAATGTATTTGCATTCAAGTGTTCTTATACGTCAGTATTCCTGGATGGATTTAAATTATATTGACAGAAAACATCCGTTTCCTCACATTTTCAAATACCAAGCAGGTTTTAGAACCTGGTCTACAGCATGGCTGTTTTTGAAAAAAAATGTAATTCAGCCAAGGCTGATCTTGTTTTTCCTTTATTCTCTAAGCCAGAAGCAATTACTTTTCATTTCAGGATTAAGCAGCTGTAACATTGCCATTCGTCACTGAGGCTCCTGGTTTCAGCATGTCTCCTTGGTTCCTGGCCAGTCTTGGGTGTTCAGGTAGCAGCTGTGGCTGGGAGTGCCTCTCCAGCCCGCATTCTTTGGCTGTGAATTTTACAGCCCTGTTTATCTGAGGAAGACCTCCCCATAGTGAGTTGCTCATGACATTGTCACACAGACCTTCACGAATGATAGGGAAAGATACTGAAGATTTTTCTTCCTGGAATGCCAACCAATCCCGAATTTCCCAGTTCCTTCACTCTGGCCGATCACCACAAAGGCCTGGTGCTGAGACTGGATGAGACTTGTCCTACATAAACCAAATTCTAGCAGGACTGCCTACAAGTCCTCTCTGTGAGGTTGTCACCCAAGCCTGTTCAGAGAATTTTCAACAATTACATTTGCCCAAACATTAACTCTCACTTCTCTGCACTATTTACTTCAATTTATACTTTTAATCAATAAATGCTATCACCAGCTTTAGCACGTAAAGACCTCTCTTCCTTCTCTTGAAACCCATGGCTTTATTTGAGATGGCTTGGCATGGCTTTAAAGCATGGGTGTCTCACTGTTTCATGTGTCTTCATTTTCCTTCCCAAACCAGACTGTAAGTTCTTCGAGAGAGGAGATTCTGAAAACTGGTAATACCTTATATAGACAGTAGACAGAAAAAAAAATATTTGGACAGAAAGACCCTTGTTGCTCTTAGTTATCCAGAAAATTTGCCTTAACATGTTCAGAAGACTCTAGATCATCTGCTGTAATGTATGACTCCTCTCCTTTCCCCTGCCTGCCCTCTGCTGGAACTGCTAATGAGCAATAAGATGGCCAAAGCAGAACATTGGATAGGAAATGTGGGAAAACAGGGGGCTTGTCTGACTGAAAAGCAAATTGAATAACAGTGATTTGTGAGTCCACGACCTAGACCTTTGAAGCTTCTCATTATGTGCCTTTGGATAACCAGCAGCCTTGTTACAAGACCCCTTATTTGTTCAAACATGCACCGGGATGCGCTTCTGCCTACTGGCATGAGGTGGACCAAATGACCTTGTGTGTCCTCCTTCTCCTCTGTGCTTGTTCCATCTCCAGAACCATCTAATAGGTGGCAGATACCTGAGCCAGGTCATCCCTCCTCTCGAACACAAATACCCTCCTTATTCACTGCACCTCAAGGCCTGCACCACCTTCATATACAGAGGTATTTACGAGGATCTGGCAAGACTGCCAGTTTGGTAATGCAGAAGATAAGTTTGAAACTCTAGACTGGTTTCCTGTTTCGAAGGGCAGCAGGATATGACAGCCGCTGAGGCAGCCCGTTTGCCCTGAGAGAGGAGAAGCAAGAGTGTCTGATCACTAGATGACCTCTCTCTCCTGCTGGCTCAGCGGTAGTGTGGGTAGTTCCCATCCTGCTCTTGGTCAGGAGGCTAGATGTTATGAAAAAGAGGAGGAAAAACATGTATTTTCCTTTTTTTATTATTAAAAAAGGGCACTCTCTGGAGAGGCAGAATCCATTAGCTGACTCCATTTCAGTATCTATGGTTAATTAATTTAGGCAGTTTTAATGCACTCTTATTATGTAGACTTTAAGAGCTGTTCTGGTAAATGTCCATCCCATAAATACTACCACTACTTTATATGTATGATATCCTTTTTGGAAGGGTAAATCTGAATTATCATCCAGATATTAATTTGCACACAACCCTGTCTAGACAACACAAAAATGCTTCCTCGTTGTTTGAATATTGTTCTATACATTTTGAAGTGGGAAAAAACTGCTCAGATATGACACTCTACATTTTAAGTCAGTGGATAAGTCAGTATGGTAGCCTCCCAAAACATAATTTGTAAATCAGTTTTACCATACTATAGACTGAATAATTGATTTCTGCATTTCATTCTGTAAATTAAACACCAGACTTTGAATTACTAGAAGAAATAGCACAGTTAGCCAATAAACCTTTCTTATAAAATGACAGCATTTTAATTTATTATATACATTAGCATTTATTCATGCCTACGATTTCTTCCATCAATTTTCCATTTAAAAAAGATGTTGTTTGGAAACAACCGTGGAGAAATGCTGGGTTCCAAAACCAATGTTGTGAAAGGCAGCAGGTCTAGTGTTCTGGGCACATGTTTAACTAAATTTTAGTCAATAACTATGCGGCTCCAAGTATAAGCCCATCTTTTTTCAAGTATCTACCTTATGAACTGACTCTCTTGCAATGTCAGAGTTTAAAAAAGAAAATATTTAAATTTCACTATTTAAGAGGTATGCTGTATTTGTTCAAAATTACAGCAACCTCTGATATTATTTTAAAATATTTATTTTGCCACTTGACAGGCTTCTTCTAGACTCCTCTGGGGTTTTAATTTTGTTTACAGTAGTACATTTCAATAGTTGGCTTCAGATTAAATGAATATTAGTACTTTGGGATGATTTTATTAATTAGTTGCTTTTGAAAAATATCTTAAGCTGAAAGTTACTCCAAAATAGAATCTCTAAGAATCACTACCACCAGATAAATGTTAACTTTAAATCATTAATTCATTTCATTCATTCAATAAAATTGTATTTAACACATATAAGGACTGACTTATCTGGGCAAGGTAGGCAGAGCACCTGGAGCCTGCAATACTTTTAGAGTCCTATGAAAATGCTTTAATTTCTTTTAAAATTAGAAGAAAAAAAATGAAATTTTAGGGCAAGAAAATATTTAAATATGTAATATTAATATATTCATCTTTATAACAACGTAGTCTTAAAATACAATTTTAAATATTTTTTATGGAGGAAGAGGTCCATGAAGGCTAAAGTTCCCAGGACTCATGAAAGTCATAGTGAAACCTATGCCAAATCTTATCTGTACTAGTTTCTAGGGATAAAAAGATGAATAAGACACAATTTCTGTGCCCAAAGCACACACGGTCCAATGAAGAAAATGGACACAAAACAGGTAGTTCATAATGTGGTTTCCTTGAAGTTGTTTGAAATAATAATTATAGCCTGAAGAACACAACGGTTTTACTACAAAATATTTAACATATAGACTTGGTCTTATCCTTCTTTCAGTTAAACTTACACAAAAATAGGGTTTGCACATATTTTAATGGTACATAGACAGCACAACTATACGTTTGTACATTTCAAACACCACTGATATTGCCATCCAGATCTTTAAGTCAAATGTTCATATTTTATAAGCACACTTCATCGACAAGGCCACAAAGGAAATGCTAGGTCCTAGATATTGATGGTTCCATGAGGAAAATGAGAAAAGAGGTTTGGTTCTCCCTAGCTTAGCAAAACTCACTTACTTATGTCCTTCAGAATTTTATTGGGTCTTCAGAAATGGAACAGAATCTTAGCTGCACTTTTTCTCTTCATAAAATTTCTTGCTTATATGAGATTCAGCATTTATTTTTTCAGTTACTGTTTCTAATGCCATAATTAGGGTAGTCAGAATGTCCTCCTTAACCTAAATCTTCCCTGTTAATATTTGGATCCACTTCCACACTTTTTGGTTGTCATTTGGAGAATGATTTTTGATCATTTTCTATGTTTAGAGCAATTTTACCTCCATTATCTTGTTATACATACAAAAGCTTTTTGAATAAGTAGGGCATCATAGGACATTGGAAAGAGCACAGGCTCAGACAAACCTGGGTATGAATAAGAATTCTTTCACTCAAGCTGTATGACCTAGGTCAATTCATTTAACTCGTTGCGTCTCAGCTTCCGCATCTATAAAATAGGGATCATTATGCATGTGTTACAAAGTTGCTGTAGGAATTAGAATAATGTATGTTAAGCATTAGACCAGTACCTGTAATATAGTGGATGCTAATAAGTAACTGCTATTATTATTGGCCATATTTTACAAATTAGGAAACTGAAACACAGACATATTAAATGACCTTGGCCAGCATTGGGGGGGCTAGGGCACTCAGTTATTACTGGAAAATTGCAGCCTTGCTTTTTTTTTCTATTGTTGCTATTTTATTTTATTTATTTTTTATTTGATTTGATTTTTGTGTGTGTGAGGAAGATCAGCCCTGAGCTAACATCCAATGCCAACCTTCCTTTTTTTGCTGAGGAAGATTGGCCCTGGGCTAACATTCGTGCCCATCTTCCTCTACTTTATATGAGATGCCGTCACAGCATGGCTTGTCAAGCGGTGCATCGGTCCACGCCCGGGATCCGAACCCCGGGCAGCTGAAGCAGAGCGCGTGCACTTAACCGCTACACCACCAGGCTGGCCCCTGCAGCCTTGCTTTTGATCAAGACTTATTGAGAATGAGACTGTAGTACACAAAGAAAGTACAGAACCAAAAGGTACAGAAAAGGCACTGACATTGAAGGAACCGTATAATTAATATATATTTATTGAGCACCTTGTAAGTATAAGGTATTCTGTACATAAGTTGGGCCACTTTGGGTTGCAAATGACAAATCCCAACTTGCCTACGCAAAAAGGATAATTTTTCGTCTGGTAAAACTCAAACACAGGATGTAGGGAACTGGTCCTGGGGATGTCTGTGTTCAGTGGCAGGAACACTTTTAGGGCTCACACTCTTTATTTCTGACTAGTGTTTCTGGTTCTCTTTGCAGATGACTTTCTCCATGCCACGGGAAACATGGCTCCTAGCAACCTGGGTCTCTCATCTCATCCTAGCAGTTCTTCTACCAGCAAAGAAAGAGGATTTCTTCCTCTTTGGCTCCAGTATGAAAACAATCCCAAGAATGACTTGCATTGGATCAATTTAGGTCACATACTCCTCTCCAAACCAATCGCCAAGCCAGGAAGATGGGATAATATGAATGGTTCAATCAAGAGCACATGTCCACCCTTGTCATTAGAATGTTTTTTTTTTTTTTTTTCCTATGGAGGGAGGTGTTTTGGGCAAGCAAAAACAGGAAGCTTTATCTTCTATGAGATGTAATAGAAAAATTAATATTTTAATGGTAGGGTTAGGTTAAAAGAGCCAAAAAATTAGAATCCCAGGATGTCTGGCTAAGATACCACAAGGTTCAAGTGGACATGTCATGTGGACTTTTCAGTCAAGAAGGGAAGCAAGCCTGTCATACTTTTGTCTTCCAATATGTTATCTCACAGATTACAAACTTAAATTTATTTCTTAATATGCATATCTTTTAAGGGAGAAAGTTATAAACGCTTGGGTACTATCTTAGAAAAAGCAAAAGAGGGTGATTGGAGGCTGGACCACAGACTGACATCCCTTTTGTTTGAAAAACTGCGAGACGTCTTGTCCTGTGGGAATGCATTATTCTAACAGCTTGCTTAATGTTTTTATTTCCTGTGGAGTGGGCTTGGTTGAAAGCTCAAAGCAGACTTACAAATTGCATTGTATAGTGGAGAACTTCTCTTCAAGTCTCTGCCAGGGCTATTTAAGACATTGCCCTGTTTGCTCTTGGCTCCCCTACTTCAGTGTCCGCTCCACCGCGTTAGTGGGAGGACTGTTGTGTTGTATTAGAGATCTGGAGAGCCTGTGACTGGGTGAAGAGTCAGTGTTTTGACTTTTTGTGCCAACATCATCGTTTCCTCACTTGTTTCACATTTCTCCTGTCAGTTGGGCCCTCAAGGCAAGGTTACCTTGATTACTTCCGGGTTTTTGGTCATGAATCTTTCTAAACTATTTTTACCTCAAAATGTTCTTGCCTATTCACCAACTCACTTTTTCTTCTTTCTGTCTCTAAATTAGAGATATCCCTACTCTTCTCTGGCACTAAATTCTTCGCTGTTTTACCTCCTCAGGAAACTAATTCCATCTATTACTTCATCTCCAGTTATCCCTCTCCACTGCATCTTTCTCCACTTATCTACCTACAGTACTATCCCCCTGAGGTATCATCAAAAGAGGTCATCTGTGTGAAATATTCCATTACTCTAAAGTGGAATATAAATATGGAACAGCACTGTTATCCTGTCTTTCTTCTTCACTCCACAATCATCTCAAAAAATTGTCAATATAAATTATTTCTTGATTTTACTTTCTCACTGTTCAATTCATTACTTAGTGTCTTAAAATCTGAACTCTGTCTCCTACAGTACTGTTTTGGGGTTCCATATCTTTGTCTTTCTTCCAGCATGGGACACAGTTGACTATGCCCTCCTCTTTTGGTTTCTATAATCTCACTACCTTCTCTCTGTCTCTGACCAGTCTTCTTTCTCCTTTAACGCTCATCTTCTTCCTTCTATGTCTGAATGTGAGTGGTCTCCATCACTCCATCCTTACCCCTTCTCCCCCCACCTCTCTCTTGCCCGTTCTCGTAAATACTTCTTGAAATAACTCCCAGATCTCTCTCTTCCCTTCAACCTGTTAAATACCTATAATTTTAACCTAAATATCTCACTATCCCCCCAACATAATGTTTAAAACATTATATGTTGTTTTATAAATGTATAAAAACTCTTACCCCATCCTAAATATCTTCCACCCTATCTGAGCCCTCAGAGTTACTTTTATACCCAGTCACCTAGGCTTGAAACATTTGTTCCATCTTTGATTCCTCTCTCTGTCCTATCCCTGAATCCAATTTCAGCCATGTTTTAAGGACACATTGTTCTATTCACCTACTTTCACTCTGTCCCTCCCCTCTGCCTTCTCTACCCTCAGGCAGTGATAGTTCTGGCTGCTGGAATAGCACACAGTCTATTATTTTGCTTTCGGTGAGGTTGTCCAGAAGTATTTTGTGGCCATATTTTTTTCCCTTCCTCATTTTTGGTTCTTTCCCTTTTCTGGGCTGAATAGCCATTTTAACTCTGTTCATAGAGATCACTTAATCTTCTTCTACACAAATATCCTTTTCAGAACCTAAATATACACTAATGTGTTTAGAATGGCCCATATAATATGTCTAGTAAGTAACAGTCAGGTGTAAGCTGACCATTGTTTATAAGCAATGACATGAAAAAACTACATTTCATAGCTATATTTTTATTAATATAATTTGCATCCTCAAATACTTTCAGTGTCTTCATATTAGGACAACATTTCAACCATATTTTGTTTAGAAAGCTGAACTTTTGAGGATTTAATGATGGGCTAATGAATATACACTAAACATAGTTCTTGAGTTTTAATATATTTCCAACAATCAACAAAATATAATATGATTCCAGTTTATGTGTAATTTCATCAGAAACATCACCTTTCGATCTCTAGGACTCAAGTCCTCTTACTTTATTTCTGCAGATCCTATTAACAAAGAATGATTGAGGACAGCTTCAGCTTTCCCAGTTTCAACATTAAAGATGTATGGTGTAACAAATAGCATACTGTGCAGCTGTAAAAAAGAATCGGGAAGCTCTTTATGTGTTTATATGGAAAGATCTCTGTTATGGACTGAATGTGTTTGTGTCCCCCTCCCAAATTCGTACATTGAAGCCCTAACCCCTAGTGTGATGTTATTTGGAAATGTGGCCTCTGGGAGGTAATTAGGGTTAGATGAGGTCACGAAGATGGGGCCATCATGGTGGGATTACTGCTCTTATAATAAGAGACACAGGACAGCTTGCTGTCGCCCTCTGCCAAGTGAGGACACAGTGACAAGGTGGCTGTCTGCAAGCCAGGAAGAGAGCTCTCACCAGAACCGACCACGCTAGCACCCTGATCTCACATTTCCAGTCTCCAGAACTGTGAGAAAATAAATTTCTCTTGTTTAAGCCACCCAGTCTATGGGATTTTGTTATGGCAGCTCAACCTGACTAATATAATCTCCAAGATTTAGTTTTAGGTGGGAAGAAAAGGGTGCCAAAATGGTGTACTATTGGAGTGAAAAAAGAGAAAATAATCTATACTTGTATTGGCTTGTATATAAATTTTAAAAATTCTGGGAAGTAAGTGAGAAACTAGTAATGCTGGTTACTTGTTTTGGGGGGATAGGAACTTGGCATATAGAAGACAGGGATGGAAAGGAAATGTTGCTGTATATCTTTTTATACCTTTTGATGCTTGAACTATGTGAATGCACTACAACTTCAAGAAATTCAATAAATAAAATTTACTTTAAAAAAATAACACAAACATTTTATTTGGAAAAACAGGATTATATTGAAATGAAAATATTGATTATATTGAAAGAAGATTGCCAATTGGCGGAATAATTATACCAGAAGTTGACATTTGATGCAGGCACAATTTGTAGAAGATGAAGGAATATGAGCGGTTGTATTCAATTGCTTTCTCGGTCAGTTCTTTAATAATCTCCATGACAATGTAAACAGTTCTTATTGTCTACTGCTCTTTTCTGGGATCTGATTTGGTTACTGCCAACAGAGCTTGAAGTGCCCCACATGACATGCCTTTGATTGAAAGATGATGGCCACAGGTTCTCTCAGTAATGCCCAGATGGTCTCTGAGAGTAAAGCCTTCTCCAACTTCCCTCAGTTGGTGGTACTATATTTAAGGATAGCAAATGCTGAGAAGAGGACCTAGTCATTCCTTTGAAAGAGGTTAATGTCTCTTCCATGAACAATGATGTGACTTTTCTTACAACTTAGTTTGGCCAGTTAAACATCCAGTTGCTTTAGGGATGTTATATCACATTACCCCAGAGTGTGTTCCTTAAATGTGATTCTGATCATTTCGTTTGTATTTAACATCCATCAAAGATTTCTTCTCCATTGGTCGTCTGACCTCTGCCTCTCTCTATTCCGATCTACTTATTTTGAGCTGTTTAGCCATGACCCCAAAGCGCCTTTCTTTCTGTCCCCATGCCTTTGTAAATGCCATTTCCATTGCCTGGACCACCCTTCTATTTGTTCCTTTTTATGAAGCGCTCCCAAATGGAGCTGAGTGCTTTTCCTGACATTACCCTGTATTTATTGAATACCATTGAGATTCTCTATATGTTTGTTCCTTCCTATCAGATTCAAGAAGTTCAGGGGCCATAGCATATTCATTTTGCATCCCCAATGCTGGCATCCAGTATGCACTTGATGGTTGAATGAATGAATAAATATACAGGCTGGCTGAAATGTTAAAGACAAAAATATTATAGTACCCTATAATAAAATCCTAACCAATTCTGAGGGAAAATGCTTCGCAGGAGAATTCTAACTCTCCACATTTTAAATGCGTTCTTCAGCCCCTGACTTGTAAGAGCTGATTCTGTCAGGACAATTCTCCATGAGCCTTTTGATTTTTTGGAAAGCTTTCAGTTTTGTAGATTTTTTGTGTGTGTGGTTTGAAAATTCTTCTGGGCATCCCCATATTAAGGCATCTCTTTGAGGATCTCCTCTAAGAGCATTTATTTCTAACATTCTAAATCATAGATAACAGCTCTCAATCCAGTGGATTTTCATCCTTATCTCCAGAAAACCACATTTTTTATACTTTGTGGTAAAGTAAGTTACATATCTATAGAAATCGCTCTGTGGACGTGAGCCTTCAGCTAGAACCTCAAATGTACATTTGCCCACCAGAGAGCAAGAGTGACAGCAGGCTAATCTCTACCATTTGGTAGTTAGATATCTTTCTCATGTGTCTGTCTCAAAGATGTTCCTTTAGGGGCCGGCCCAGTGGCGTAGTGGTTAAGTTCGTGCGTGCGTGCCGCTTTGGTGGCCCCAGGTTCGCAGGCTTGGATCCCGGGTTCGAACTTATGCACAGCTCATCAAGCCAAGCCATGGCAGGCATCCCACTTATAAAATAGAGGAAGATGAGCACAGATGTTAGCTCAGGGCTAATCTTCCTCACAAAAAAAGGAAAAAAAGTTAAAAAAAAAAGAGATGTTCTTTTAAAATGTTGTGAAATTTGCAGAAAACAAATCACTAATATTTTCCAGATGAAAGAATTCACTTTCCAAACTAAAGTGGCTGATTTTGGGGAGTTTCAGCTGTGCTAAAAAGGCACTAGTGAGACAGATT